ATTCAGTACTAAGGTGTGTGCATCTAATGAAAGCAGAGCATCTATTTTGCCAGCACTGAATGATTTCTGTGCTGCATTTCCTCTCTTGTTTGCGTGATTTTAGTTCTTCAAAGTATTAGGGAACATACACAAGGTACGTGCTATCGTTTTAGAATTATTGTTTTCCCCTCTATTTTTTATTCAGACTTACTAGAAGCCCTTCTTGGTTATGATTTTCCTTTCTCCACAACACATGAAGAAACAGCATTTCCTAAGAGTTAAAAGCTGACAACTTTTACCACGCTGCAGTCTGGGAAAACAAAACAACATGAACAGAGCTAGCTAAAGCAAAAGGTGAGTTTCCAAAAAATCTTATCAAGCTACTACATGGGCAAATGAAGACTCTCACTCCAAGGACTGAGGTCTGATGCATTACACCACTGTGCAGCCCTCAACTGAGGCTTTGTTGAAACCATCTCTCCAGTGAGATTAATGCTCACAGTTTCGGGCACAAGTGAATTACAATTTCCACTAGTTGAATAATTTTGCCCTTTACTAAGATCTCATGCAGTAAGGTCTCTAAACTCAAACTAATGCTTTTGTTACTCTGCCTTCTAAATCCTCAGTCCTCAGAAAGTCACCGTATTACATAGACTTTCGTATGATAGCTGACAGCAACTGAGCAACAACATACTAAATAGGACCATCTGCTGAATTATCTCTGTATCAACATTGAGACATTACACTAAATGCATTTTAAAGTCTCATTTTGATCTCCACCACAATCCTCCAGACACACAGGAGCACTGCGAGCAGCCCGGGTTCACTCAAACAGCAACTGCCAAGACTGAAACTCTCTCAAAAACCTCATGGCAAGAATCCCTCAGAAGCTGAGGAGGATTTACTTAGGAAGAGTATTAGTTGTTAGTACTCAACAGTTAGTGTCAACCTACAGCTCAAAGCATACTTCCCACTTTGTTGGAAAACAAACACAAGAGGATTCATGCTCTGCAAAACAGAAGCACTGCTCCAAAAATGAACCACTTAAGCGAGTTACTGTCACTCTGTCTATAAACACCAGTGTTTACAAGCAAGCCTGCTATAAATGAAACCAAACAGGCACCTCGGAAAAGTTCTTTCCCTTCGCAAAAGCAGCATTCCTATGGCTGACCGCTGGTCCCGATCTCTGCCCACCGCAAGATTTCATCCAGACATGTACAGAAGAGCCACAAGGCACAGAAATGCCCTTTCCAAGGGCACGCTACTATCAAAGTCAGAAGGAGGCCTAGATCAAATGCACCCTGATCTCTTAAGTACCCGCTATCATCTTTGTTGCAATAGGGCCATAAATTATAGTTAAGCATCAGAACCAGACGTACCGAGGCTGTAATTATAAGTGGATTTGGTTTTGTCTGCTTTTGATTGTAGGACAAGTGTTGAGCTGGCAAGAACGGTTGGATCAGATGGAAACAATCACTGTGAATTACTGTAATCGGCGCTGCATAGCGCTGTGTTCAGACACGTCTCTAACCCTCCCCAGCACTCACACACCTTCCCGCCTAACACCCAGCACTTCCAAGAAGCAAAGCCGGCAAGCAGGCAGCGCTCGGTAACTCATGAATGAGCTCCCGGAGCAGCAGCAGCCCAGCGCCTCTTACGAGGTCTGAAATCACTTCAGTGCTGCACTAGTGTGGAGAGTGGCTCATGAAACACACACTTTCCTACTCCCTTCCCCGAAAATGGCCACCCGCGCCTCTGTAAACTCCCCGGGAGATGAGAAACACCCCCAGCACTCGGCACGGCGGCTCCGTTTAAGTTCAGAAGGAGCTGCAGATGCTTCTGGAAAGTAAGTTTCAGGTCTTGCGCCTCATTTATACCCAGTACAGCGCACACACACAAACACCGGCGTGCGCCTCTCGCTGCCCTGCCCCGCTGGAGTGCCCCGCTCACCCCGCCGCCCGAAGGACTCGCTTGGGCGACGGACGGACTGGCCACAGCCAAACTTCGGGGGCTCAGTCCCGCACTGGCCCAGCCCGGGCACCCCCCAAACCTCAGCGTGGCCCTGGGAGAGGCGGCGGTGCCGGCCTCAGGCCGCCGGCCGGGGTTGCGGGAGCTGCCACTCACCTTGCGCGATGGCGATGGACTCGAAGCGGTGCAGCTCCCGCAGCAGGCAGCTCCGCTCGGTGGAGTGCAGGCTGTAGATGAAGTCGCGGGCCCCCTGCACCGTGTTCAACGCCTCCATCGGTTCCTTCCTGGGGTGGGTGCCCAGAGCCCGCCCCGGCGGCGGCGACGACCCCCGCGGGAGGAGCAGCCCCTCGGCGCCGCCCCGCAGGCTGCCCAGGCGGCGGCGGCAGCAGCAGCGCGGCGGGCCCCGCAGCGAGCCCAGGCAGGAGGGAGCGGCAGCGGCGGGGCCCCCCGGCCGCCCCAGCAGCAGCGCCGCCCGGCCGAGCCACGCCGACATGGGGCAGGGAAGGGCGCGGCGCTCGGGCCGCCAGAAACGCCCGCCGCGGAGTCCCCGGGCCGCGCTGCCGCGGCTGCTTCCCCGGGCCGGGCAGTCCGCGCCCAGGCACCGCCCCACAGCCGCTCCCGCCAGCGGCGGCGCCGCCGCGCCCCGCCCCGCCCCGCTTTGCTCCGCTCCGCTCCTCGCCGCCCCGGCCAGCTCAGCCGCCGCCGCCCGTGGCCCCGCGCCGGCGGCAGGGCGGGGCGGAGGGCGGCCAGCGGAGGCGGTTCCGCGCAGGCGCGCCGAGGTGGCGGGCGGCGGCCTCCATCGCCCCCTCAGGGCGCCCGAGCGGGGCGCGGGAGCGGTACCGATACCCGTAGCCGTTCGTCGCCGCTGAAGGGAGGCTGCGGGGTGGGAAAGGGCCGGCGGTGTGAGGGGCGTAGTGAGGGCGGCAGGCGGGGTTAAACGCCAGCTGTGCTCCGGACCCTGGTGCTTGGCAAGGCTCCCGCCAAGCTCTTTCCATTGTTATCTATTATTAAGGTGCCTGTACGCTCACAGAACTTACGGGCAGCAACAAAAGGTGTCACCCGCTCGTGTTAATTGTCTCAGAGCGATGAAAACAAGGTTTTGCTTTTCTCTCCGATTTGCCAGGTCTTTGCATTGGAGTATTGCAGCATTGCAACCTCCAGGTTTTGGTTTAGTATAGTTTAGTTGCATATTTAGCAGCTCTTCATCCGGGACTGTAGTGCTAGGACAAGGGGAAATGGGTTAAAACTTAAATGGGAGAGATTCGGCTTAAAGATAGGAGGAAGAAGTTCTTCCCTGTGAGGATGCTGAGGCACTGGCACAGATTGCCCAGAGAAGCTGTGGCTGCCCCATCTCTGCCAGTGTTCAAGGCCAGGTTGGATGGGGCTTGGAGCAACCTGGTCTTGGCAGAAGTGTTGTACTAGGTGATCTTAAGGTCCTTTCCAACCCAAACTATTCTGTGATTCTGTACAGCATCTGTGTTCTTTTTAATTAATTGGCAGGTACCGAGTTTGATCCACACTGAATGGTTTTTAAAAAGAAAGCGAAAACTTTCAAGAGACAGTTTATGTCTTGAATGAACAGAGGACGTTGTAGAAACAGATTTGAAGTGCTCTGCTGCTCGGTCTGGATGTTTCCCAGGTATTTATGCCGTGCTAGGGGTTAATCCAGGTTCTGCATTTTCAAAACACTGTATTCCAAAAGTATTAGATTTTGTAATTAGACTTCAAGTACCTAAATAAGCACAACCACAGAGGACTCACTCATATGCCTAACTCATTTAACACTAAGGTGACTTCAGGACACTCAAAATTTATTGCTGTGTGTTTAGCTCTTTTAATACCAAAGGCAGCACACTTCTGGAGTGGGGATGTCCATCCAGGTGGTTTCAGGTCTGCTGCCTTCCTGCGGGGAGGCAAACGGAGAGTTTTAAGTTCTCCCTGCTGACTTACCTGCAAAGAGAAGTTAAAATGTTACATGAAAAAGCAGCATCTTCTCTCCAGTTCCACTGCTGCGGAGTTCATGCATGGTATAAAGACCTAGATCTCATGATGAACAGAGGTATCTTACCTCGAGTATGCATCAATATTATGTTGTTTGCTGTAAGGGTGCTGAGGCACTGGAACAGGCTGCCCAAAGAAGTGGTAAATGCTCCATCCCTGGCAGTGTTCAAGGCCGGGCTGGACAGAGCCTTGGGTGGCATGCTTTAGTGGGAGGTGTCCCTGCCCATGGCAGGAGGTTGGAACTGGATGATCTTAAGGTCCTTTCCAACCCTATATATTGTTTCTAAGTAGTATGTGTATTATAGAGAGGGAGCAGAAAGTGAGCATGAAGATACAGAAAATAAGTCATTAATGCTTGAATATATGATGTTGTAATTTCTACCCTGTTAGAGAAATAGTGGAGATAGATGGGTGTCGGCTGCTATTTCCAGTTAAATGACTTTCTGCCATACAGCAAATAGAGCTGTCTCTGAGAAAGATTTTTACAGCTCTGTAACTCTTTCTTTTAATGCTTACCCCTGATCCAGAGCCTCTTTGCTGGTGATGATGCTCAGAACAGTCCTTATTTTCGCAGGCATTTATTAAAAGAAGGTATATTCTGCTACTCTTCAGGTGCAATGTGGCAGTCAGTAATCATTTTCCATTCCAGAGGACTGTAGCAAGAGAGTTCATAAAAGTGTTCTTTTCTTAATCAGATAGCTTTTTCAATAAAAATGGATGCTTCCATGTGTAAAGACAGGCCATGCAATGGGATTGCCAAACTCCTGGAAAACTGGCATCCAAAAAATAAGGGAAAAACAAGCTTCCCAGATGCCAAACCTTTAATACTTTGATTCTACATGTGTCTGATTGTTTATATCTTGCTATATATTGTATTTGATTTTATATTCACACAGCTTGATTGCACCAGACTACAAAGAAGGAGCAAAGAAGGGACACTAGAACCTGGCAAGAAAGGTGCCACCAGTGCAGCCCATGCCAGCCACATGGTACATCTATTGCAAACGATGATTACACTTGGGTTATTCTTGGGGTGTTCTGACAGTACCCACAAGGTTTCAGGTGTTTTCAGAGGCTAAAGGGAAGGGTTCCTTTGGCTGTTGATGCTGGCAGTCTATTATGCCGGTCTCTAAAGGATTTCCTTATAGATAGGACACTGTGCCATGTGGATCCCTGGTGAAATAAATATGAAATCAATGATGAGTATGGAGTTTGTAACCTAGCCTTCAGGTATTTGCTATCTAGATATATCAACCACATAGAGATGTCCAAGGTCATTATTTAAGTAGACATGATGCAATACTATTACAAAGATAAAGTCATTACAACACAGCAAGGTAGAGATCAGGGTTGAGCAGACTACAGGCAGCAGCTGTGGCTTATGCCTTTCCAAACCTTCAAAACTGCATTGGACAAATTGGAATAAAAATGTCTTCAGAGGGACTATCCTACAATGACAGGGAATGAACAGGATAATCTAATAGGGGTTTTTTTCCATAATTCCTTCCTGGAACTTTATTTTGTGAAAAAGTGACATTGAAGCCATTGGTTACACTGACACTTTGATTGATCAGACTATTTAACTCTGTTCAGCAGGTGGTGTAGAGGAACTTCCATTAGTCCCTGACACTCCAGCAGTTGTGAACCCTCTGCAATGCATATTTCTCAAAGCCTTCTGGAGACTGAAGTTTCCCAATATTTTCTTGTTTTTCTTGCTAATAGATTAATTTTCTCCTAACATGATTTATTTTGTGAAGAACCAAACTAATAAAGCTGGTTTATACACACCAGAAGTAGGACAAAATAATTTAAAATACTACATGGAAAAATTGGTGGTGTTCGGCCCTAAAAGCTAAAGAAATGCTTATGCAGAAATCAGCAGCCATCCTTAACAGAACTTCTGGAAGGCCTTCTAAGGACTGCAAAGCTGAGAGACAAGTCTCTGTGGAGATTGGCAGGAAATAGGAGGCACTCCTCTTCCTATATAAATATTGAGGGCGCATTTAGTAATTTCATTTTGATGTGGTGAAGTAAGAGCACATTAGTTATGAAGGAGCTTTTTATGGAGGGAGTAACATGTTTTCTCCACTCAGTGTAAAGGTGAGTATTGTTAGTTAAGGTGAGACAAAGATTTAAAGGTTGGTAAATATTTGATACCATAAATTATAACTATGCATTATCTGTGGGTTTCCAGTTAAATACTGTATTAAGGCAGGTCAACGTTTCTAGGAAGCTTGCAGATAAGTAGCTCCAGAGAGACATGGACAAGATACATTTGTGCTGCCTCACATTTTGAAAGAAGATGTGGCTCTTCTGGTCTTGCTGGCCCAGTGAGGCTCTGATCCTGTACGTTTGTGTGCTGGCAGATACAGGAAGATGAGAGAACACAACATGATGCTCACTTGAAAAAAGGAGCTTTGAAATACATTGACCGCTTGCTAACATTTGAAATCCTATATACAGTCTGAAATAGGAATGTGATAAAAGATTGGGAGCTTAATGTATCATTAACTATTGAAATAGTGCAAAAATGAGTAAGATCTTGTCATTTAGCAAGAGAAGGAGTTAAAATAATCTTGGGAAGTTGTAGATGATCAAGTGCAAGCAAAGGATCTTCCTGATCCTCACTGTTTCCCTCCTTACACAGCTTTATACAATCATATGCATTATTGTACTAATAAGCATTTAGAAATGATCTGAAGATCATTTTGGGGTTAGGACTGTGCTGGGTTTGGCTGGGATAGAGTTAATTTTTTTATAGTAGCTGGAAAGGGGCTGTGTTTTGGATTTGTGCTGGAAACTGTTGATGACAGAGGGATGTTTTAGTTATTGTGAGCTTACACAGAGTCAGGGCCTTTTCTGGTCTTCATCTTGTTCATGTAAATTATTCCCTGGTTTTAAGATTCAGGGAGCAGTCAGGTCCACTGTGTGGTTTAAACAAAGCTGAGGATCATGGCAGACAATCACTGAAGTAAGCTCCTTCTGGAACTGTATACCTGAAAGGGAATAGTATGGGTTTTGCATATATAAACATGGGGTTATCAAATACAAGAGAAGTTAATGCTTTTTCTGTCTTTCAGGGTAAATGCTTTTAGAATACTGTAATTCAGCTACAGTGTCCTCAGGATACACTGTCCTCAGTCCAAGATAAATTGCACATAGCTCAAAAAACTGTTGGGAGAATTGCTAAAGGTTTGGAAAAATGCTTCTTGGCAAGAGGCTTCAAAGATCAATTTATTCACTTTATTAAGTGGGAGTTTGTGGGTTTAAGATAAACATAGTCTCTGCGTACCTTGCTTGATAAAAGAACAATGTCAGCACACAATGAAAATATATAACGGTGACACCCGTCAATGGGTATCAATGTATGGCAAGTTGTGAAGCTGAAACTGGGCAGAATCTGGCTACTGCACAACATTTTAGCAGTGAAAATAATTAACAACTGCAGCAACTTTCTAGGGGTTAATTTTCTGCTTCATATAACAGCTAAGTGACACCTATGCTTAGACAAGCTTTCTTTTAACTCAGAAGATATGAAAGTAGGTGTTTACTATAATTCCTCACACATTTTTCATGTATGGATGCACAGCATTTCTTCAAATGAGTCCTGGAGTTTTTCACACTAAATACGATGGAAGACTTTGTCCTTTTTTCTCTTATACAGGTGGAACACAAATACTGGAGGACAGATCAGTACATCCTTCTAGTCCCAATAAATTATTTTGTTAATAAATTGAGTAAGGTGAGAAGGCTGAACTGTTGCAGTTAGTGAACTGCATTAAAGTGTATCAGGGAAAAGGTGTGAAAGAAGAGAAATGGTCCAAAAGAGAGTAGGGAATATCAAAGGAAAGCAGTAGAGCTTACATTTAGTGGGACCACTTAGCTGTTTTCTAACAGATGTTTCTCAGGAAAAGGACTAGGGTGTCGAGATCTGCCTTTGGGAATGTCCACTGGACAGAGCATCTCCCGCATCAATGTAAAGCTGAGACTGTCATCAAGGGGTACTTGAACATACTGTAAGGTCTGTGACATTGATTTTGGGGTATCTAAAAATGCTGAGCATGAACTGGAATGGCTGACTTGCTGTGAGGACTGAGCAGCTCCTGCACAGCTCTGCAGTCAGGTGAACACACAGATGCTGTAAAGCACCTTTGCCCAGCACCTCCATCTGACCCCTGGGTGCTGGGGTAGTCATGCAAAGGAAATTGTACCTTTCCTTTGATGCAAGGGAACAAGATAAAGCTCTCAAAGCATTACAAAGCAGCTGGATTTAGGGCCTTGAAGACCTTCACCACTTTGCAGTGTAAAATGGATGAGATGACCTGTATCGAACCCATCTTGATAATTTTATTCTGTGCCTGAAGCAGCTGTTCCCTTATGCTATAGAGAATACTTCCATCAGCATTGACCATGCTGCCCCTTGATCCTTTCTACCTCTATTGGACAAAAGTAATTAGTGACACAAGAATTAAAACACTACTGAAAAGGCAGCCCAGGCAGTTGTTCAGCCTCTTTACACAAACTGCATATGATGGGAAAGGTATGCACAAGCCTCCTTGTACCCACAATTGAATTTGTTCCTTGACCAATAAGACTGGGAAAAACCACCAGCTGTTCGTGTGTTACCAGTGTTCCAAGCTCATGTGCATTGGTGCTCGCTGGGTCACTCTGCCCCTTTGTGAGATTCCTGGAGGAGTTCTTGGCTGGGCTAAGAATGAAGGAGGCTCTTTACCGCCTTCATAGCCTCTACTAAGCCATTGCTAGTTTGGTTAAGGGGGTCGAGTGCATCTGTCACACCATCAAAATCACAGCGGATGTGACAACTAAGTTTTTTCTCATGGGGATGAGCATGTATTTGAAATTTCTTCTCCTCTATTGCTTGTGGTTTGTTGGGAAAGCATGTTGTGACTTCATCTTCCCATTGTTTCCTTTAGTAACTAGTGCAGGTTAAACACCTTGTTGTATTGAGGTCCCCAGTGTAAGATTTTCAATCTCCATTTACTCATTCATTGATAAATAAGTTGCTATTTGAAGCTGCCTTGTTATACAAATGCAAATATGATTATATGCCATGATAATTTGATGGGCCCTGTCTGTAACTGCAAAATCTCATAGCTTCCACTCATTTTAAAATTGCAGTATAAAAGTCATACTAAGCTCTTAAAAGATATGTCAAGTTCTGTGAATACAAATTAAGATGCCAATCAGCTGAGTCTATCACATAGATAGTTTTCAAGAAGGAAATAAACATGTATGAGCTGCCAAAAAAGTCCAACATCTTTCTGTCAACTTATATGTATTCTCATTGTCCGGAGGCTTGGGAGTCTTCTAAAACAGTGAACGGACTCTTTCCTGAACAGGATCCCATGTGTATGTCCCCTCAAATGAAAAACCAAACCAATAGCAGAACAGATCGGAATCCACGTTCAGAACTTTCCCAATGAATAGCTGTTGTGCAGGTTTAGCTGCTGGATTAATTCGTTAGGAGAGTGGTGATGAATTTTTAATCGCTGTCTCTTCAAATGTCAGAATACTTGCACTTTTCCAGTGAGATCTTCTAAAGTTCTATTGCATACAAGGTGCTCCATTTATTTCATTGTTTATAGAGGATATATAAATCCATTTAAAACAGAGATGTACAACAACAGAAAGGTAAAAAGGAAAGAGAAGCAGAAGCAGATGGTGTGTGAGATCCTCATGGTAGTACACACTAATATTTGTTTCATCAGTGGGGAAAAAAATATACAGGCAGTTCATAATAACTACAGAGATACAGTCATCTCCCAGGTGTGCGAGTGACTGTCAAATGCTAAATCCACTGTAATACCAAATGGTGGGTTTCGTACATGTTTTTATGTTATGATGGGTTTTGTTTAACCACTTCATTTCTATATAGATGGGTAGAGATTAAAAAATTGCAAGTCTTGATTCCTCTTTCCCTGAGCAATAAGAAAATAAATTAAATCTTAAGAAAAAATTATTCCTAAGAGTTACAAAATAGACAACTTTTTAGTAAACCAGCCACTCATAGAAACTAATTTGAATATACATTGTGCTGCATGACTGGCTCCTGTGCAGGTGAGGTAATGATGAGTAACTCCAACCAAATGTTTTCAGTATTGTATTCAGCCTACTATTGAATAGAACAACTAGAAGAGAGCACAGCGGTTGTTTATGAAGGGAAACTCCTTCACTTACAGAAAACCAGATGCGAATGTGATATAAATCAGTAATGACCTGAAGTCCCTGCTTTGCAGTAGTTGGACCAGTGTCACTGTCTGAATATCATCATTTTGGGTCAAATTAGAAACAGTCTTAGATGTCAGACATAGCTGTACGCTACCAGAGCCTGATGCACTACTTCACTGTTCCTTAGGGTTCACTCTTGGCATCCCTGAGAGTGCTCTCACTGTACCAGGTGTATGTACAGCAGTGCTCCTAGGACCAAGGTGTGAAGTCTCTCCTTGGCACTGAATTCAAAGGACCCCATGAAGCTGATACCGAGCAGTTACAGGAAAGGTATGACTGTATGAGTGTTGTCCTTATTTTATAATATTACCACGTATCCTCCAAAAGTTTGTTTTGTTTTAGTATTTAAAATGATAATTGTAATAATTATCCATATATTTTCTAAGCAAACAAAAGAAAGAACCTGGTTTCCTTCCCAAAATTTGGATACAGAAGACCATACAGAAGACCTGGACAAGCAGCCGATAGATGGAATTTTCCTCCTAATCTCACAGGCAGGGGCAGAAAACTGTCAATATTAATTGCAGCAAAATAGGAGGGTTTGGGCAGTCTGTCTTGGCTTTGTTCCCTATGTTCTCTTGAGGTCCACCCTCTCCCTTTTTTACACTGTGCTGTTGCTGAGAGCACTGGTATAAAACAAGATGCAGGGTATGAAATATCCTCTGCAAGCTTGTTAAGGAAATGCTTTGAGCTAGAAAGGAGTCAGAACAAGGTAAGACACTTGGCAGAATGTTTATCAAAATTAAATGTGAAAAAGTTAGAAAGAAGAATGAACGCTGAGTCAGGACTGAAGCCAAACCTTAGTCACAAGCCACTTACATGGAAAGCAGGTTATTCCCTGTGTACCTGTTGTGGAGTTTCTTATGACTCATGCAAAGGTCAGATACCAGACACTGTCAAAGAGGAGATTTGTGAACTAGAGGTAACCGGCTGCATGAGCAGTGTCAAAACTAGTGCTTCTGGTCTGTTTGTTTAGAAAATATCAGAGTGGATGCACAAGCAGATAGTCCTGTGTAATAAAGGAGAATGGATGCTTGCTGCCAGTCATTGGTATCTCACTTGTGAAATCCAAGGTTTTACCTTGCTTTGCAACTATTATATTTCTTTTGGGTTTTTTTCAGCACCTTGATAACCTGTGGAGGAATGTAGTGCTGAATAAAATGCCTGTATTCTCTCAGACAGAGAATTGCCACTGTTGAAGGTGCCTGAAATGTTTGTGGCCTCAGTTTCTTTAAAGAAAAAAAAAATGACAGATCAGCCTTGAGTCTATTTATTACCAATGCAACAGGCCATTATGGTACTCTTGTTTTTCTCTTTTGCTCTCAGTCGATGGCAAAGACTCTTTGAATTCATTTCTTTTCAAATAGGGGTTGAATAAATATATACAATATGCATGTGGGCATAAAAGCTGCAACAGCTGAAAACATGTTTATTGATTTATTGACCTGTTTTCCTCGGATACTTCAATGCCATGCAGGAATTCTTTTCAAGAAGATTTTTCTGTTACAAGAAATAACAGATGGGGATGGAATAAATTGGGGATTTGTGTTACATAGATATTTGTATCTGGCAAACAAACAGCTGGTTTGAGCCAAACTTTTAGATGCCTGAAGGCAAATAAGCTCAGTGGAGCTATGACACTTCTACCCTCCAATGTAATTATTCAATAGCTGTTCAGTTTATAGTGTTGCTTTAACAGGATAATGAAGTGCAAGATTATATTTCTATTGTTTATTGTATTCCATTG